TCCCCATAAGGAGTGATGGCAGTTAAAGTCTCCAAGAATTATGAAGGGCTCTTTTATCTGGTTTATACAATAATTTATCTGGTTAATACAATTGTAATATCATGCATTTCGATTTCTTATAGTGGGTACCAATTAGGGATATAGGCATTTCCGATACATATGCCAATCTCTGGAAAATCAGTCGCGCCTTCGAAACTTTCTCAATAATCTGCGTTCTCACTTTATCAGGTGTTGAAGGTATCTCCTGTAATTGATCTTTACCTGATTCAGTCATTTCTTTAGTTTTGGAGAAAATAACCGTTAGAAGTTATCGTCTTCAAAAGAAAATTGTTTCTATTTCACGCCAGTGAAGATGTATTTGGAATGTTGTCATCAGTGCTCGCTGCGAGCGTTTACCTTCATCTGTTTGTTGTGCCAGCGAGGGGGAACAAAGGTCATCGTTGAAAAAAAGTTGGGCGAGTAATATTATTATTCCTTGACTAACAAATGAATGAAATGAAACCATCTAGACTGTTTAAATTAAATTACTTCTAACACGAAAATAATTCGCATTCGACGATGACAATTAAACATTATATAAGTACCAAGGAGACGTTTGTGCATTGAATTTTTTTGCCCTCAGCACTCACTGCCGTACTATATTGAAACATAAACTTATATGAAGCCGTTTAAAATACGTTTATGCACAAACACATTAATTAGCAATTATGTTAATATGAATTTATTGATTTATTCTTATATTTTTAGGTTCTGCTTCCTTGAAAATCATAAAATACACAAATATTACATCTGCCTCAACAACTCAAGAAAAAATATACAAACCAAGAATTTTTTTAAACATTACAAACCCTTCATACGATCTGCATATGGCAAAGTTGAGCTCATACTCTTTACCAGAATATTACTGCAGAATAAAATTGCACGTTGAAATTTTTACTTATTAATAACAAATAAATTGCTTCTTAGCATTTTGTACATGAATTTATCATGAAGTTTTATATTCATGCAAAACTCAGACACATTCAGTTAAAAAAAATGGTTGAATGATCTTGCCCTACATGATTAAAATTTTTATCAAAGAAGTAAATGTATATTTTCTTTAACCTAAGTTCGTTAAAAATTGTAAATAATAAAAATGTTACTACTCTTATATTTCGGGTAGCGTTGTTGGCCAAACTTAAATGCTTTCAGTATTGGGTGTCAACTTGTCAGGACAATTTCTGAACCAAATATTAAGCTCAACCCACCCTTTTCACGACAGAATCGAAATGTCTCTTGTCCAGTAGGGCTGGTAATTTGTTATATTTTCCTCTCCTCGTCTTGTTAGGTTTTCAGCTCAAACACAATTACAAATTTACTGCGGTCACATAAAAAAACCAAACATCATAAATATAAATATATATATATATA